GCACTCGAACTTCATCCTTTCTTATGTTTTTCTAGGCCCTGTAAGCCGCTCATAAAGTCCTGTTCACCACATATAACTTTCTCTTCAGTATATCAATGCAGAAACTTCTGCTGGGGGTATCGCCCATTGGACAACCTCTGAAGTTGCAGGGAGTCTTCGGACGAACGACACAGATTGGAGTGCCGCCTGGCGCGCATACATTCAGGGTATCATCGACGTCACAGTCCCAAACCAGATCACCAAAGGAGGTCCAGTCATCGGTATGTTGCACCCTTTCGTGGTTCGCCTAGTGAAATGACATCTCACCATGACAGCTGTCCAAATTGGTGAGCAATTTTCGTGGGGTGGTTGTGTGATAGGAGTTGACCCGCTCGCAAGACAACGAATATACGCAAACCCCAATCAGCCACGCACAATACTTTGTTGAACTCATGGACGCATATCACGACTCAGAGATCGTTGTTCCTTTGACGTATAATGATCCAGGTCCTCGCCGGAACTTTATCAACGGAACAGTAAGTATATGCATTCTACTCTCTAGTATCATTCTGGCTAACTGGGTTTGTAGGGTGCTGTTGACCTCTACGGGTACGGATTTTCCTTCCAATACACCGCAAATGTTCATCTACCTTCAGAATGGATGCCTACCCACAAGGATTCGACTGTTCAAATCCCACGGTTTGGAGGCCGGTGGATACCAGTTACCACTCATACCATATGGATGTCAATCCATCCCAGGCGTGGTATATTCCTGGTATGTTACTATGTTTCTCTTCTCCGCTCTATCTCATCCTATGGTAGAATTCCAAGGCGGTTCTTTCGACGCATGGGGACCCACGGCACCAGGTAACATACTTGCCTTCATTGTTGCCTTCCGCGCTGATGACATTAGGATATGGACCCTGTCGTACATTGACTGGGCCTGACTTCCAATCTGTCTTCAATTTGCAACTTTGGGCAAGTAATGCAAAGCTGATCAGTTATTATATGCTCTATGGGTTAGCGGCCCCGTTGACATCGTTTTGGGTGCCTCTCAATCTCACGTATACATAGTGGAACGTCATGGGGTGCGATCCCCTTTCCTGGTGTTTATACTTCATATGACTATGGATCTCCTGTGCGTTTTTCTCTTCTGCCGGCTCCCCTTCTAATTTCTCGTTTTCATATAGATCACGGAGTCCCGTGAACTCACCACCAAATACGACGAGTTGAAGCGACAAGGCTTCTTCATTCGGTCATCACCTAATTTCTACAAGACGGACTGGGTCGCGGATACCGCCAGTGGTCTTGCTGTATCGAGCAATCCCAAGGCATATGTGACCCATCTTCGTAATCCTGACACTGGGGCCGCATTCTATGTTATGCGTCAAACGGATTCGACGTCCACGTATGTGTACTTCTACAGCATCATTCCGAACGTCTGACCGAGGGCATCTCTTTAGCTCGACAACGACATTTAGTCTAAATATCACCACCTCATCGGGCCCCCTTCGCGTGCCCGTTGTAGCGCCTAACGTGACCTTGTCAGGACGTCAATCGAAAGTTCTTGCCACAGACTATCAATTCGGCCAAGCCTCCTCTCTGACCTATTCGACCGCGCAGATATTCTATGCTGGCACCCTCGGTGGTCGTGATATTCTATTTGCGTTTGGGGACTCGAATCAAGAACACGAGGTCACGATGCAGCTTTCAGGAACGCCTAATAGTCTTCGTGCACCACCTACCGGGGTAACCATTACTCCTGCCGCTGGTATTCAAGGTCTTGCGGAAGCTCAGGTCATCATCTCGTTTGCCCGAGGGATTCTAGGTCTTATTACGGTTTGGGACTCGGATACGCAGCTTGTGGTGTATAGCGACACCATCACGGCTGCGACGTTCTGGTCTCCTGTCATCCCAGGTGCACCTGAGGATCCATTACGAAACTTCTGGGGATTGGGAACTAATGAGTCTATCATCGTTGGTGGACCTTATTTGGTCCGTGGAGCCGATATCGTGGATGGTACCCTTTCTTTAAGAGGGGATCTCAAGGAGGATACCAGGTTGACCGTTATTGCACCTCAGACAGTTCGCGCTATCACTTGGAATGGGCAACAAATTACTCCTGACTTTGCTGCTGCATCGGAGGTTTCGTCGTTCGGTGGCACCTTTGTCGCGCACTTGAAGACTTCGGTTTCACTGCAAAGTGGGGTTCAGATTCCCAAGTTGACGGATTGGAAGTATAAGGATAGTTTGCCGGAGATTGGGGATGGGTTTGATGATGGAGGGTGGACCTTGGCGAATAAACGGAAGACGAATATCCCGAATAAGCCGTATTATGGCGATGGTAGGATATTGTATGGGTGTGACTACGGGTTGTAAGTTGAATGTTTTTTGTTGTTGTTCCGTCATGAACTCGTGTTAACGATTGGGTTGCAGCTGCGAGAATGTTGTCCTATGGAGAGGTCATTTCAATGCGGCTGGTACAGAGAAGAGTGTCAACCTGTCCATCAATGGCGGTGAAGGTATGTACCACTATTCTAAGTTTAGTCGAGGTCCTCTGACTCCTTGGTCATCAGCTTTCGCAGCTAGCGTTTGGTTGAATGACGCTTTCTTAGGAACGTCATTCGGAAAGTAAGTTCAGTCCAATTTTGATACGACTATAAGCTAACTCTATGCGTTTAGTTCTACTAACAACCGACACATCTTGGAAGAAACTGATGACCAATTCACTTTCCCTACCGGCGCCCTTCGGGTTGGACAAGACAACGTCATTACTATTGTGCAGGTAAGTCTATGCGCGCTCTCTCTGTTATCCTCAATCCTAATGTGTTTGCGTTTAGGATAATATGGGTTTGAACGAAACTGCAGGACGTACGTTGTATTTTACAAGACCCTTGGCCGGATCGTTGATTTATGTTTTCCTTCAGAAAACACGGATAGTTCGAAAGGCCCACGTGGCGTACGAGGCTTTAAGTTGAACTCCGGCTCCTTCGGCGACTGGAAAGTCCAAGGAAAGGTCGGCGGATATAATGGGTATGTTTTGTTCGATTGAGTTCGACGTCTTCTTCCTTGACTCATCACTATCGCATCAGGTTCCTTGACAAGACGAGAGGCGTCTTCAACGAAGGTGGTTTGTTTGGCGAACGCAAGGGATGGCATCTCCCAGCCTTCGACACCTCTTCATGGGATTCTAGAGACCTTGCGTCGGGTCTTCCTGATTCGAATGCGGGAGTTGGGTTCTTCGTTACGACGTTCAAATTGGATATTCCGAGTGGTGTGGATGCGATGTTGAGCTTTACATTCGAAGAGCCATTTGGTCAGCCTTACCGAGCGTTGTTATTTGTGAATGGGTGGATGATGGGGAAGAGAGTTGGAAACCTTGGGTAAGTTGGTCTGGACTGAGGCTCCAATGAGGTGGCTGATCCGGAACATTGTAGCCCTCAAAGCAAGTTCCCGGTTCATGAAGGTATTCTGGACTACAGCGGCGAAAAGTAGGTTTCCAGTCTCTTCTGCGTTCCAAAGTCCCTTCTTAAATGTGTTTTGTAGCACTGTTGCTGTTGCGCTGTGGTCTATGCTAGCGGACACACCCGTCACGCCACAGTTGGAATTGATACTTGATGGCGTGTATGATGGTGGTGTTGGTGAGGTTACCGTTGATAACCCGGAGTGGTCCCCTGTTGGAAGGGAGAAGCAGTGATTCTTTTGTACTTATAGCCGTATGATCTAGGAACGTGTATATACGAATGTGATTTACCACAACTTAACATCATCGCAGAACATTAGTGGTTCGTTCAGCGTTGACTGGGAGGTACCCGCCAAGAGTCCTGGAGGAACAGTCAGTGCCATGCGTGCTAATATTACATGAAAGATCGAACAAAAAATGTTACAACAGCTTGTAAACTTTCAACAATCAAGAAACAGTGACCGTATCTTCCCTGTTGTGCGGACGATGATCAAAAACTAAACGAAGTCATAGGCGGAAAACCAAAGACTTACTCAACCATTCTGGACCATTTCACCGAAACCTTTTGCAAGAGGGACTTGTGCGATTCTTTGAATTTGTCTTCAAAAATCTCGACCTGCCATAGCGACCACCGCCTCCCTACCCACCCTTGGTCAAAGTATAAGACCAGATTGATATTCTGGCTGGACGAGAAAGGATATTGTCCTTCAAAGAACTTATCCATGGCGAGCCAATCTTGTGCGAGAGCATCGGATATAACACCATGTCTGATGCGATATGTGACGTCCAGCTGAGATATCTCGTCTGGGTTGGAAATGGCTCTGCATATCCTAGCGAAGCATTGAATCTGACGGAGGTTTTCGTCACTGTTGTCATCGAAGCCGAGGACACAGGAGAGCCTCCTCAGGTTGGGAAGTGAGCGGACTCCTGCCACAATCACCTTCTCGATGGTAGCAAAAGAAATGATTGCTGTGTATGCATTCAATTGTCGAAGTTTCCCAATAAAAAGATCAACGGAACACGTACGCCAGTACAAGTAGCTCACATCCAAGTTGAGGTGTTGAAGCGTCGATGCGACAGGCTTCACAAGTTTCCCGAAGTGGTTGTGATCATTCTTGAAAACGAGAGATAGATGGGTGAGTCGAATAGAAAGCAGGAATTCCGCCACTGTGTCTACACGTCCGGGATCGGAGGCGATCGTTTCGGGGTCGTCAAAATCAAAGGTAATACTTTGAAGATTGCTAAGGAAGCGGGTGGCCTTGGGAAGTGTATCAGCAGCTACGTTGAAATGCAACACCTTAATCGACTTGATATGACCAAGTAGACTGTGGTTTGATTTCAAGAGAGCTCTGAAATTGTGATAATCCCGGAGATCCTTTCGTCCAAGGGTATATTTCGAAAAGATGGCTCTCTGGCATGGGCGGCGGCAAAATCGGCAGAGGAGGCTACATGCTCTTAGAGTTATGGGATCATCAACAAAATCGATGACATGCCCAATAACATCAAGAGGCAGAGTGGGCCCGACAGTTAAAAACATGGACGGAAAAGACAAAAAAGCTGGTTCAATCCAGGATCGAACTGGAGACCTTGTGTGTGTGAGACACAAATCATAACCACTAGACCATTGAACCATGTCACGAGAACATGACCGTCACAATAAGACTTGTCAAGACCAGGCTCACAGCACTTATAAGTTACGTCGGTTGGCGCACACTCATGTGCATCCATCCCAATCGAGGTTCTTCTGGGTGATCGGTGACAGCACCCGGGCAGGTTGTTCACGAAGCAACAGTCGTATTAGGGGTTTAGTATCAGGACCTGCAATATCTTCCGAAAACAATCTCCATAAAGGATGGAAATATAAAGGATGGGAATAAGTTAGGTATCAACCGAAACTAAGTATCACTTGTAGAAGAAAAGCTCGACCAGCGTTCGTTATCATAGGGTTTGCCATCCAGGAAAGCTTTGAAGTGCCCCATCTCGATACCTTGATCTCCTGAGCTACGGATGATACGAGCCCGGTCAAAGTCGATGATAAATCCCTCCCCCTCGGAGTTTATCAGTAGATTTTCAGGGCGAATGTCCCGATGGCACACGGAAGCTTTATGACATGCCTCCAGTATTGATACGAACATCTCTCTGAAGCGGAGGGAGATTTTAGGAGGGATAGCCTGAGGTAACATAGAGTCCGCACCTTTCTTTGGCTGTGACAATCGGCTGCCCCTCCCCCTCTTCATCAACGTCCCTGCTCTTGCCTGCATCTTGGGGTTCGAGATTGAGCTGACGCTGGGCCAGAGAGATACCACCATGGCCCATTACTAAAAATGTCGCAAAGTCGTTGCACTCTTCGAAAAGACCATAGATAGGAAGAATCCCACGTCGAACGGGTTTTGACCAGAGCTTGTGATATGCTTCATACTCCGAACGAATGCGTCTCCGATACTTGGGCTTGGTTGCCAACTTCACCACAACCTCCTCTTCGAGATAAGTTCCGTCTGACATTCGAATAGACACTCTACCGGTATGGATTGAACCAACAGCACCACATGAAAAGGGTGCCTCAAGGATGATGTCCACGCTTTCCTGGACCGCATATGTCTGGCGATCCTCTATGTGGTCTCGTCCAATCCCATGTTTTGACAGGGATGGACGGTCGCGCCTACACGCGACCGGTACTGGAGAGTTGTATGGCTTATACCGGAGGTAAAGAAGTCCTAGAACTCTCTTGTTGATTTCACTCCAGAACTTCTCCGTCTGGTCAGAGGGAAACCGGGATAGAACGCGGAGAAAGCTCACTTTGTCTTCCTGTGGGGTGGATCTCCTACTCATTCTCCCTCCAGTAGAATCCAGCTTCTGGCGAATATTCCGTGGTGGCTCTGGGGAGATGCTTCGCTGTCGTTTGCCTAGTTTTGTTGATTCCGTATGCAGGGTGTCATTCTGCAATTGTTCACGCCTGCGATGAAGGCGATCCAATGCATCTTGAAAAATCCCTACATGCAAACCAACATGGAGTCTGCCATATGCCGGATTTTTGCAACTCGGAATATGGATGAGATCCGACAAGAAAAGAGTTTGAGATTTACGATGGCGGATCCCAATTCGCTCGTAATTCCCAGTGTTGAAGACGATCACTGTGATATCGTGAATAACAGCTTGTGTCCATGCCTGTCCGCCTCAGGTTTGGGTCAAAGTTGAGCTCGGATTAAGTTGACAATCTTACGTGTTGAACAAAGTCACGGGCGGTAAAGTTTTTGCTGTGAAGGCCGTTTGGGCGGATGCCGTCCTCCACAGCATTGGAATGCGAAGCATCTAACCGTGTTACGTCCTTCAGAAGTACTTCTGGAATGCGACAAAGTGGGTGGGAGGAATCAAGGGGAGGTGGTTGGTGTAAGCCATCAGATCGAGGTGGATGGCCAGAAGTCTGACAAGTGAAAGGTTGGAAGTCGTCCACCAGGCGATCCATATTCTGAATCGCCTCTTCGGCATGGGGAGACAGATTGGTAAATAACCATATCCCGTATTTCTTTCCAGAAAGTTCTCGTATGTCTGCGGCAACTTGACTCGGAATAGAATTCATGACGTCTCCTGGCAAGCATCTAGCTGATGGAATCCCTAGAGAGCACACTTCAAGGTCACGTCTTGGTACGTCGAACGGCACGTAGTCGACGTATAGACGGTCGAAGCAGAGCGATCTGCGGTATCTACCTGGGTGAGGATGGAGTACCCAACTTGACGCCACGGAAAGACAGGAATTGGCTATTGTCTTTTCGTAGAACCTGGAAATGGCCGGGGCATTGGCCACGGCTTTTTCTAAGCTAGCCCGATCCCGAAATCCAGAGCGATACCAATCATCGTCATTTCCTGGAGTGGGGACGGAGAACCCGGCAGTGACTAAGTCTTTCATAGTACGAGCCGCGTTATCAGATAAGTCCTGGACCAGACCAGGGAGGACAACGACTCTCCTGAGTTGAAGGCGCTGGTCCGTGTGGGCATCATAAAAGTCGAGCAACGAGCTCTGAGGCGACGGGCGGGCATCTGGGTGTTGTGTCAAGGTTGGGGGACAGAACGATAGTAGTTTCGTCAGTTCTTCGATGTGGACGTCCGCCTGGGGTAAAATAGTGGGTTCCTGCCTTGTGGTAGCACCATTCAGAGGAGATGCCATTTGTGGCACTAATAGTAAGCAAAAGAACAACCACTGAACTGTGTTGAAGCAATCGAGCCGTCACGTGACAGCCCAAACTGCCGGGCCGAGCGGCTGCGCTCGTCGAGTCACTGCACGCCGCCAGGAATCAACTCCATGTTAGATCACCTTACAGTCCTCACTGCGTTATAAAACTATTATAAACGACCAGGGCTAACTTCATGTATTCCTGTCGAACAAGTGTTTCTTTGAGTAAGCATCTCGCAGCTTTGCTTCTAGCGAGATTCCAACTCACTAAGCTGGCAGGTAAGCCCCCGAGCTTCTCTGTCAGTAGAGGTGACGGTACTGGCGGCACAATTGACCGAACGGTAACTAGCTAGACACCCTAATAGAAGGTGGTTGATGGTACAAACTCGTTTTATCATGATGGTCTCTAAATTGCAAGGTCCCTGATGCAAGACCGATGTGACTCGAGAGTTGCCTCGCGCCCTCCTCGAGGCTTTGAAGCCTTCCCCCTGAGGACTGGGTGTCCCTCGTCCGTTTCTTTTCTGCATTCTCTCCCTCTAGAGAGCCTCTAGGACTGAAACTTCATCTTCTTCGACGGTTCACCAGCTATCACATGTGAGCATTTGAGTTCCTCTGGATTAGATCCCTCCTTTAATATCACTTGTGTACCGCTGACCGGGCCATCAGCTACACCTCCTCACCCTATCGTCTCCTTCTCGAGCTACCTACTCGACCCTCAAATGACGACCCAAGTGTTGGAAAGGGATTTACACTCCCTATTAAAGTGGCACCCGGAACTCAGTTATCCTCCCGGGTCCAAAGGCACGACGCCTCCGTCTAAATTCAGCCAACATTTAGACGATGGCCTTATCCTCAAGAGGATTGTCTACGATCCGCAGATCATCCCAAATCTATGCAAAGCCGTTGACGACAGGCTGCAAGGCTTCGATATTCAAACGAAGCTGCGGTCGTCGTGCCTTCCATTTCCACAGGACCCTGAACTGTTCGAAAAAACGACGATTACATCAGAATCTCAATGCGTAGATTACTACGACAAGACTTTGTCCCCCTTCTACGCTGCAGTCGCTACAGCTCTCGTTGTGGGTCAATTCGGGACCGAAAATAATAGCGTCTTTTCCTGGACTGCCCGCGATACTACAGAACCCGAGCAGAAGGGCAATATCCCCGATGGCGTACTCAGACTGAACGACGACCACCCTGCTGTTCAGAAAAACCTCTTGAAGCACCTCAAGGGCCTCGCGACCTGGGAATTCAAGCGACCACAGGTATTGGATAATGGGTTACGGAAGGCCCTCCAGAAGTTGATCGACGAAGAAGAGTTTCGCTGGTGCAGATGCACCATCGTCAACGCATCCAACGTTACAACCCACGAAGACAAGTGCCTCTTCAAGCAGCACTTCACTCCTGAAGGAGCTTACCTCTACAACTTACGGCCTCTAGGCCCCGACGCCCTTCCTGAATCGCCGGTCAACTCGGAAGATGACGCGGGAGGTCCTCGCTTCAGACCGATCCACTCAACTACTCTGATCGATAAAGCGCATAGCATTTTCCAGCAAGTGAGTCGGATGTTTCCGTATCTGATCTACCGCTCATTCATTCTTGAAAATAGCTCTGGACAAACGGTGTAATGGGTGATTTCACCTATACAAGTCTGGATTCCGTGGAATACCAAATGATCGGGTTACGGCATCGGGCGTCGCAAACGCTCTTCGTCACAGGCTTTATCAAAAATACTGAGACGAAGTACCATACAAAAATTGCTGTTGGGTTGTACTTCGCTGCTTGGGAAGATGCCCTTAAACGAGACGCTCTCATCGACTCTGCAATTATGGCACAATCTAAGCAATTCGTGGGATGTTCTCCAGAAAACCGCTATGAATTCGAGACGGTGTGTATCTCTTTCTCCCCGGTATTCGGCCTCTAAGTCGTGCTGCAGATCGTGCGCCACTGGAAAGCACCATCCTCAAAACCTCCTTCGTATGGTCGCAGTATTACAGATTCTGAGGTGCGTCAAAGTCAAGTCCTTGGCAATTTTATCAAACTGACGAATGTAGACCGATGTAGAGCAGAGGCTTCGTCAATGCCATTCGATATTTCTTGTCGCCCCGATCCCGCAGAAGGAAGGGGCTTGTCATCTCATCCTACCTGAGCTCCCTTATATCTGGTTAAGGGTAGATCCAGAGACCCACGAACTATGGTTCCCACCAGTCAACGACGAAGATCTCCCCGATATTGACAATGTCGTCGGTGACGTTAATGAGACGGGCGCTGAAGACGATGGCAATCACGAGGAAGACACTGAAGAGGAGGAGGATGAAACCCAATCCGATGTGGCAAATGCTCAAGGACACAAAGGAGACAATCTGAGCGTCCACGATATCATGAAGGCCGCGATAGTCGAAGAATCTGCTCCTTACGCCGACCGTTTTGTCGATGAACTTGACCATCCGTCCAGCCAACCTT